CTTCTACTTCTTCTTGTTGTTGTTGTGGGTGCGACTCCACCACGATTTCCGGCAGTCCCGCTTCGAGTAGCGCTTCTTTTCTTTTCTCCTCCCGCCACAAGTTCAGGAGAAAGCAGGTTAGTGTAACGCCAGCCAGAGATAAAATCGCCACCCAAAGAGGAAGAAAAAACATCTCCCCCGTCGGCGTGTTTAATAAAAAAAAATGCCTGCACAACCTTTCACCTCCTCTTCTCCTACTCGTTAGAGAGAGAGAGAGAGAGAAAGAGAAAGAGAGAGGATGTGTGTGTGTGTGGCCCTCGGATGCGGCATGAACATGCGTGCAAGCAAAGAAGAATAGGGAAAAAGAGAAGGACATGCAAATGACGGGGGAGAATAAATGAGCCACTGGGGAGGGGGGTTCAATGCTTCCCAACAACAAAAAAACAAAACAAAAAACCCCGCCATCCGTGAAATAGACTGAAGGGCACCGACAACACAAAAAGGAATGGAAGGAACCACAACGACCTCGTCAAGTCCAAAGTGGGGTATAAGGGCGTGGCCAACAACAACAACAACAACAAAGCACACATATGCACACACACACACACACAGACGGAAAAATACATATATGGAAAATCAGAAAATCGCACGAACGGGGGGAGTAAAAAATGAGTAAATCAGCACAGAAATAAAGAAAAAAAAAACTTCAAAAAAGGACTCTTTTTTTTCTTTTTCTTTTTAGTTTTTTATTTTCTTCTTCTTTTCCTTCGGTTTTTTTTTTCTTCCTTTTTTCCTTTTGTTTAGTCGCTGCATTCCCTCTCTGCCTCCCTCCCTCCCTCCACGTTCCCTGCCCGGTGAACCATTACGTACGCATGTACAGTCACACAGATACCGTGAGGAAAAAGAGGAAGGCGTAAGGGAGGCGGGCAGGGGATGATTCCACACGGTGGATGTCCCCTGATGTAAAGAAAAAGTCCTGAGAGTCCACAAGCACACACACACGCACACAAAAGAAGTGCCCACTTGAGATTCCCCGCCGTCAGGGGGGAAAACACAAAAAAAAAAAAACGACAAAAACAAAAACAAATGATTGAGTACATGAACGAATAAATTAAAAAAAAAGGTAGAAGGGAGAAGGAGTGGCCGCTGCTGCTGCCTTTCACTCCATGGCACGCCGCGGGTTCTCGAAGCTCGGTCCGTTTTTACGTTTGAGGAGAGGTGTAAGAATCCACTCCAGCGCGGACTTACTTCTTGCCAGGTGTTGCTGGCACAGTAACGCGTCGTATTCGGCATCGTCATCAATGAAATACACGACGCCCTCGTTTGCGGGGTTCAGCAGGTACGGCAGGCCCTTCCCGTAAACTTCGTCCGCGTCCGGCTGGGCCTCCCTCTCCCTCGCCGCCTCCTCCTCCTCCTCCTCCTCTTCCTCTTCCTGCAGATGCTGCAGCTGCTCAAGCAGCGTATCCACCGTCTCGCCACGCTGCAGAGGCTCGCTGCCCTGACGCCTCGCCGAGATCTCTACAAGCATTTGCAGGAGGTTCGGCCCCGGCGGTGCCTCGGGGGGCGGTGTGTGGTTTGCCTGCACCATGGAAACAATGCTCGAGACCGTCGCATGTCTGCCGTCCTGCATCAACAGCAGCTCCGGACGACGGTGTTCACCGTTGCGTGCGCGGTATGACCGCAGTTGGCGGTCCGCCAACATTTCCGTTCCGTTTGCCGTGGAAACAAGGGGGATGCCCTGATACGCCTCGCCCCGCTCCACAAGTCGCAGAATAGCCTGCCGCATCAACGCCCGACGTGAACGGGCGCGATCGTTATCACGTAAGTCTGCCTCGGCACGCTGCTGCCGTCGTGCCGTAATGTTGCCCTCTAATAACCGCAGGTGCCGACGCCGCAAGTAACTTGAGCTGACAAATATAAGTATGACAGTAAAAAAAATAACACATAGCGAGACAAAAGTGGCACTCATACCACTAAAGGCCATAAATGACACCTTCTACGTACCCCCCCTGCTTATTCCACTTCCTTTACGCAACACGGTGTACTCTATTGCCCTTTATTCATACAGACAAACCCTGTTCGCTCCACACAATCGCTATTCACTGCTGCTAAGTCTAATATATATGTATGTATGTATGTATATATGCGTATGTATTTACTTATTTATGTTTCCCTTTTTTAACACAATGTCCACAAATATATATATTTATTTATATGTGGCTTCTTCCTAATGAGCCTACACCTTCAATGAGTCCAACAGACATAAATGAACACGGAAGAAAAGTAACGGGGAAACAATAAAGGGCCGAGTGCACACACACGCACACACCCACACACACAAATAAGAGGGAGAAGAAGTGGCAGTAAAATCCAAAGCAACAACAAAAAACAACAAAAATAAACGACACGTCGAAGTTAAAAAAATGCGTACGTGAAAATATCAGGCCCTTCAATGGAATCCACAAAAAGAAGAGGAGGGGGCGTGGGGATTACACACACAAACAAACAACAGAAGTAACGTCCAACAACGACATCCACACACCCACAGTGAACCAACCACAAAAAAAAAAAAAAAAACAAAACGTATAATAAATTTAAAGAAAAAAAGGGGGGAGGCGGGAAACAAAAACAAAAAAGAAATTGAAAGTCCAATAATAATCACAGACCTCCTCCTCCTCCCCCCTCCACTCTCCTCCTCCCATCACGTAAAAACTTTAGATAAATGCTCCCCGCGTGTGTCTGTCTGTCTGTCTGTGTGTGTGTGTGGGCCCGCAGGCAGAGAGCGCAGTGCTGCTCCATTTCACCCACCCACCACCCCGGTTTCTTTTTTTTTTTTTTTCTTCTTCTTCTTCTTTTCGTCCTTTAAAACAACAACAGCAGCAGCAAAATTTATTTAACTTCCCTCTCAGTCCCTCTCACGAAAAAAAAACAAAAAAAACATAATTTTCTCCTCCCTTTCCATCCATCCCTCTCTCTCTCTCTGTTTATATAAATATTTATTTATATGTCCCTTTATTTCACTCAACAGATGATTTGGGGCCCACGCATTGACTACACCCCCGCCATATATATTTATTTATATGACAAAACAGCAGAAACAATAATGATAAAATCAAGAATAAAATATATGGCGGCTCTCATTCATTCCCCTCCCCCCGTGCCGCCTTCACGCAGCCACGGCTGCAATTCAAACGCCAACGCCATCCAACTCCGTACATAAACAACAGCAAAGGGGTTGCCGCCACAAAGGCAAAGCAAGCATATACATATAGATAGATATGGATAGATCTGAATGCACAACAGAAGCCCAGTGGAAATGAAAAAGGATAAGAAGGAAACACACACACATAAAAAAAAAAAAAAGGGTGTTGATGGTGGTGGTGGTGGTGGGAAAAAGCATACGGATGAAGTTTGAAGGAGTTCGCCTTCCCAGCAAAAGGCTATTGACACCATGTACACATCAACACATAAATGTATATCTATATAGATATATGATATGTATGACTCTGTGAAAGGGAGAATCCCAGTAGAATTGTAACTGTGTGCCAAGCAAAACAAAAAGAAGAAGAAGAAAAAGAAGAATAAATAAATAAATAAATAACTAAATGATATCTTCATTCTATTCTCATTTCCACCACCACCACCACGACGAATATTCATGCATTCCATTCATCTTTTCATTCCCTTCATTGCTCATCTTTATCTGTGGAATGAGACAGTTGAAGAGCGGAGCACCTGCGTGGATGCAGTTTCCGCAGCCGCCGTTTCTACTTCAGACGGTACATTCTGCACGAGGTCGTTGCTGTCTTTTCTCTCGTTCAGCCAGCCACCTTCCGAGTGCATGGAAGCCGAGTTCCCCATCCGCGTCCCTCTGCGCATCGTCCTCGACACTGACGCCGGCGAACGCGTCGAGGACGCCAATGATGCCGTTCTCCCCTGCACGGAGGCGGGGAACGTCATCGGCTCCCGCAGGATGCTGAGCATCTCCAGCAGCTGCACCGCCCGCTGCCGCTCCCTCTCGTCGTGGGCGTTTTGCCTGCGCTCCAACTCCCGCCGCTGAATCTTCCGGCGGCAGCAGCGGACACCGTAGATGAGAAGCAGCAGCACGGCGCCAAAGGCTACAAAGATAAGGAGAAGAATAAAAAAACTAAAAAAAATTTCCCCCCCCTCCCCCATCGCTGCGCACACTACACTAAAAAAAAAATAAATAAGCAAACAAACATACAGAAAAGAGAAAAAAAAGAAAAAAAAAGAGGGATGACTGGTGGGGCAAAGCATGCAGGGAGAAGTCACCACCACCACCCGCTCCGCTGAATTCCGGCGGCACCAGCAGCCACAAGTCACACAAACAAATAAACAAACAAACACGCAAAAATAAAAAATAAAAAAACAAACAAAACCCAGCAATTCACGCCCCTCTTTTACATTCCACACACACAGACAGACAGACAGAAAGGGAGAAAAGGGAGAAAAAACAAAAGACAAAACTTCATTCGGCACCCAAACAAACGCAAAATAAAAAAGAAAAAGAGGGGAAATAAATAAAAGAGGATCAAAGCCAGACAAACATGCCCCCTCCCCACCCCCTTGTCCAGCGCAATCACAAACACACACAAAAAAAAAAAAATAAATAAATAAATAAAAAACATATTTCGGGGTGTCGTCTTTCTGCCCTTTTTTTTTCTTTTTTACAACATCCGCAGGCATCTGCTACGCCCATCCCCTCCCCTCCCCTCCTTGCCCACGCATACATGCATGCATGCCGGAAGGAAAAGAAAAGAAAAAATGAAATAAATAAATAAATCAAACAAAAAAAAAAGTAAAAAAAAAAAAAGAAAAATAAAAATCATAAATATAAATCAATAAATTAAATATGAAATAAGAGTAAATTATATCGGTGCACACACACACACATACACATACATGTATATAGATATATAGATATAGATAAACACGACTACTCCGCGATGGCAAACCCAAAACAACCCTTTATATAAATCAAAGACACAACACAACACGCACAAAATCAAACAAATTCATTTTTTTTTTTAAATTTCTACAAACTTCTCCCACCGCTACCGCACCAAAACAAAAAAAAAAGAAAAAAGAAAAAAAATAAATGAAAAGTACGTCCACAGAGGGCAAAAGCAAAAGCAAAAGCAAAGAAAAAAAAAGAAACAGTGCTATCATACAACATGCGCATGAAAAAAACAATAACAAAACCGTTCAATTACCTCCACAATAGACAGGGAGAGAAAGAAAAGAAATGATCTCACGGTTCGTGCCATTGCGCCCGACATCGCTCACACACTCCAGGCAGGACACATCCCGCGCCTACACACACAAGTCAACCCAGTAGTTCTTACACCAATCCACCACAGCCGGGCTCCGTGCTAACCCACGCCGCGGCTGTCTTCGGAATCACGTTTCCTGCGAAAGGCTCGGATAAAGGTGCTTCACAATTGCTCCCAAAAACCACGAAAAACACGAAAGAACACCAACACTAGAAAAATTTTTACCACAAAAAATATTTGCTCTAAGCCATTCGCTGCACGCAACACACACAGACGCGCAGGAAAAGCAATATAAGAAAAAGGTGATGGCGTTCAATTAAGGGAAACAAAGAGGAATTCGCCAGCACGACAAAAAAGAAACACCGGAATCAACAGAGCAGCGTGTGGACGTGCCGGCCATCAAACCTCTTCCCGCTGTTACCATCGCCCACCACACAAACACATATGGGATACATCAGACGGTTGTGCTAGGAGTCGCAGTGTCCCTGCCTTCCACACATGCGGCCCAAGCCACCCCTTTTCCTACGGGTGGAGCAGGCAGCCAGCAATGCACTTGTGCGCACACAGCATGGCCCTGCTCCCACACAGTCCTCAAAAACAAAAAATTAACGCAACACACGAAAAGCTATCAGAAACACACACAAGCCAAAAATAAATTGTTGGTCGGCGCCGCGAGCCCCTTCGCTCCTATCTGAAGGCGACAATACACGTCAGGTTCGCTGGCCTTCTCCCACAGGCGGTCGGCGTGCCGTGGTGGTGGGGACTGTGCGGCCCTCGGCAATGACAGCTGCGGCAGCACGCGGCGGCGCCTCACACACATGCACGGGGCTGGCGGTTTCCGGGCAGGATGCCGCATCAGACTGTTGCAAAACACCGGGCACATCTCCTGCCGTCATTCCACCGCTGCTGCTGCTGCGCGGAAGGTACGATGCACTGCCGTATACGGCGCTGGCGGGTCGCAGGCGGTACGTGGCCCCAGAGAGAGTGTTCAGGCTGCGGCTCGCCGCATTCACGTCAGGCAAGCGGAGACTGCGGTCAACGGGCACACCCTGCAGTACATCTCCTGACCGTGCACGGGGCAAAGCGTTTCCCTCCTCCACGGGCTCGGCGCTGGCGAAGTACTCATGGGACGTGGTGAGGCCGTCCCCCGGCAGCTCGCTGGGCACACGCGTGATGGGTGCACCGTCCTCCTCGATCCGATGCTGCGCCTCCTCATGCGACGGGAACACGACTACCGCGTCAACAACCACCGGAAGTGACACTGGCGGTGCAAACGGCTCGGCCTGTGGGCAGTCGCGCAACCTTTCTTGCCGCCTCCGCCGCTTTTTGTCCTCCAAATGTCGTTTATACACATTCGCCGTGAGCAAGAAAAACAATAACACGAAGAAAGCAAACAACATTGCGATGGCTAGCATGACATCTCTGTTCATTGTGACAGTGAGCTAAACTGGAAGGAAAAAGATAAGGGAAGAGGAGCTTGAAGACAGAGAGGAGGAGAACCCTACGCCACACCACCGCCGGGCCCAAGAAAGAAGGCCATTGCCCGCCGGCCACTGCACAAGACACACCGTACTGTGCTCTCAGAGAAATCGCTGATGGAAACAAACAGCAAGCGGATGGAAATGGAAAAAAGAGAAAAACAAGAATGCGTAAAAAACACGGTCAATTCACCGAATGAGGAGCATGCGTCCTGCTGGAGTCGTGACCCTTTTCCCTGTAGAGTGAAAGGACGGCGAATGATCTCACGGTTCGTGCCATTGCGCCCGACCTCGCTCACACACTCCAGGGAGGACACATCCCGCCCCTACACACACAAGTCAACCCATTAGTTCGTACACCAATCCACCACAGCCGGGCTCCGTGCTAACCCACGCCGCGGCTGTCTTCGGGGTCACGTTTCCTGCGAAAGGCTCGAATAAAGATGCTTCACAATTGCTCCCAAAACCACGAAAAACACGAAAGAACACCAACACTAGAAAAAATTTCCATAAATCATGTTTGCTCTAAGCCATTCGCTGCACGCAACACACACAGACGCGCAGGAAAAGCAATATAAGAAAAAGGTGATGGCGTTCAATTAAGGGAAACAAAGAGGAATTCGCCAGCACGACAAAAAAGAAACACCGGAATCAACAGAGCATCGTGTGGACGTGCCGGCCATCAAACCTCTTCCCGCTGTTACCATCGCCCACCACACAAACACATATGGGATACATCAGACGGTTGTGCTGGGAGTTGCAGTGTCGCTGCCTTCCACAAATGCGGCCCAAGCCACCCCTTTTCCTACGGGTGGAGCAGGCAGCCAGCAATGCACTTGTGCGCACACAGCATGGCCCTGCTCTCACACAGTCCTCAAAAACAAAAAATTAACGCAACACACGAAAAGCTATCAGAAACACACACAAGCCAAAAATAAATTGTTGTTCGGCGCCGCAAGCCCCTTCGCTCCTATCTGAAGGCGACAATACACGTCAGGTTCGCTGGCCTTCTTCCACAGGCGGTCGGCGTGCCGTGGTGGTGGGGACTGTGCGGCCCTCGGCATTGACAGCTGCGGCAGCACGCGGCGGCGCCTCACACACATGCACGGGGCTGGCGGTTTCCGGGCAGGATGCCGCATCAGACTGTTGCAAAACACCGGGCACATCTCCTGCCGTCATTCCACTGCCGCTGCTGCTGCTGCGCGGAAGGTACGATGCACTGCCGTATACGGCGCTGGCGGGTCGCAGGCGGTACGTGGCCCCAGAGAGAGTGTTCAGGCTGCGGCTCGCCGCATTCACGTCAGGCAAGCGGAGACTGCGGTCAACGGGCACACCCTGCAGTACATCTCCTGACCGTGCACGGGGCAAAGCGTTTCCCTCCTCCACGGGCTCGGCGCTGGCGAAGTACTCATGGGACGTGGTGAGGCCGTCCCCCGGCAGCTCGCTGGGCACACGCGTGATGGGTGCACCGTCCTCCTCGATCCGATGCTGCGCCTCCTCATGCGACGGGAACACGACTACCGCGCCAACAACCACCGGAAGTGACACTGGCGGTGCAAACGGCTCGGCCCGTTGGCAGTCGCGCAACCTTTCTTGCCGCCTCCGCCGCTTTCTGTCCTCCAAATGTCGTTTATACACATTTGCCGTGAGCAAGAAAAACAATAGCACGAAGAAAGCAAACAACAGTGCCATGACTAGCGTGGCATTGTCTGCCATCGTGACGGTGAACTAAACTGGAAGGAAAAAGATAAGGGAAGAGGAGCTTGAAGACAGAGAGAGGAGGAGAACCCTACGCCACACCACCGTTGGGCCCAAGAAAGAAGGCCATTGCCCGCCGGCCACTGCACAGGACACACCGTACTGTGCTCTCAGAGAAATCGCTGATGGAAACAAACAGCAAGCGGATGGAAATGGAAAAAAGAGAAAAACAAGAATGCGTAAAAAACACGGTCAATTCACCGAGTGAGGAGCATGCGTCCTGCTGGAGTCGTGACCCTTTTCCCTGTAGAGTGAAAGGACGGCGAATGATCTCACGGCTCGTGCCATTGCGCCCGACATCGCTCACACACTCCAGGCAGGACACATCCCGCGCCTACACACACAATTCAACCCATTAGTTCGTACACCAATCCACCACAGCCGGGCTCCGTGCTAACCCACGCCGCGGCTGTCTTCGGGGTCACGGTTCCTGCGAAAGGCTCGGATAAAGGTGCTTCACAATTGCCCCCAAAACCACGAAAAACACGAAAGAACACCAACACTAGAAAAAATTTCCATAAATCATGTTTGCTCTAAGCCATTCGCTGCACGCAACACACACAGACGCGCAGGAAAAGCAATATAAGAAAAAGGTGATGGCGTTCAATTAAGGGAAACAAGGAGGAATTCGCCAGCACGACAAAAAAGAAACACCGGAATCAACAGAGCAGCGTGTGGACGTGCCGGCCATCAAACCTCTTCCCGCTGTTACCATCGCCCACCACACAAACACATATGGGATACATCAGACGTTTGTGCTAGGAGTCGCAGTGTCCCTGCCTTCCACACATGCGGCCCAAGCCACCCCTTTTCCTACGGGTGGAGCAGGCAGCCAGCAATGCACTTGTGCGCACACAGCATGGCCCTGCTCTCACACAATCCTCAAAAAAAAAAAATTAACGCAACACACGAAAAGCTATCAGAAACACACACAAGCCAAAAATAAATTGTTGGTCGGCGCCGCGAGCCCCTTCGCTCCTATCTGAAGGCGACAATACACGTCAGATTCGCTGGCCTTCTTCCACAGGCGGTCGGCGTGCCGTGGTGGTGGGGACTGTGCGGCCCTCGGCATTGACAGCTGCGGCAGCACGCGGCGGCGCCTCACACACATGCACGGGGCTGGCGGTTTCCGGGCAGGATGCCGCATCAGACTGTTGCAAAACACCGGGCACATCTCCTGCCGTCATTCCACTGCCGCTGCTGCTGCTGCGCGGAAGGTACGATGCACTGCCATATACGGCGCTGGCGGGTCGCAGGCGGTACGTGGCCCCAGAGAGAGTGTTCAGTCTGCGGCTCGCCGCATTCACGTCAGGCAAGCGGAGACTGCGGTCAACGGGCACACCCTGCAGTACATCTCCTGACCGTGCACGGGGCAAAGCGTTTCCCTCCTCCACGGGCTCGGCGCTGGCGAAGTACTCATGGGACGTGGTGAGGCCGTCCCCCGGCAGCTCGCTGGGCACACGCGTGATGGGTGCACCGTCCTCCTCGATCCGATGCTGCGCCTCCTCATGCGACGGGAACACGACTACCGCGCCAACAACCACCGGAAGTGACACTGGCGGTGCAAACGGCTCGGCCCGTTGGCAGTCGCGCAACCTTTCTTGCCGCCTCCGCCGCTTTCTGTCCTCCAAATGTCGTTTATACACATTTGCCGTGAGCAAGAAAAACAATAGCACGAAGAAAGCAAACAACAGTGCCATGACTAGCGTGGCATTGTCTGCCATCGTGACGGTGAACTAAACTGGAAGGAAAAAGATAAGGGAAGAGGAGCTTGAAGACAGAGAGAGGAGGAGAACCCTACGCCACACCACCGTTGGGCCCAAGAAAGAAGGCCATTGCCCGCCGGCCACTGCACAGGACACACCGTACTGTGCTCTCAGAGAAATCGCTGATGGAAACAAACAGCAAGCGGATGGAAATGGAAAAAAGAGAAAAACAAGAATGCGTAAAAAACACGGTCAATTCACCGAATGAGGAGCATGCGTCCTGCTGGAGTCGTGACCCTTTTCCCTGTAGAGTGAAAGGACGGCGAATGATCTCACGGTTCGTGCCATTGCGCCCGACCTCGCTCACACACTCCAGGTAGGACACATCCCGCC